ATTTAGCTTCTGTTTACGTGCCTATCTTTATTTTGCATCAAACTTGGGTTTAAACCCAAATTTCACACCATACTAGTTGATGGAGTACATATCCTTGCGTTATGCCACTAATATGCTAAAATAGCGTCAAACTCCATTTGGCTTTGTTTTGTATATTAATCCTAGCATTAGGATAGATATTCTAAGATTATTCCAAGTCACTCAATGCTTTTGTCCTTTTGCTTTTTAGGCTGTACATTTGGGAGTTGCTTTATGCTTCAGTTCCTTTGTTCTTTAACTCCATGCTTAATAGTTTGGCTCCATTCCTTTATTTAGTGGCCCAAGGCTTTGAAACTTAGGTTCCATTTTGCTATCCTTGGACATGTGGTATATAGCATGTGGCATGTGACATGTGGCACATAAAGGAGGGTTTAAGTTCCACTTCGTAGTTATCCTATAGTTAATGACCATAGGGTAAAGGGTAAAAACCACATATGCTACAATATTAATCTTTCAAAAGTATGATATTGTAGCGTGTAGCGAAAGTAATACATGGATTGTTATTTCTTGAGAGGAATTAATCTCTTAAACTTGGTTAATCAATTCACTCTGACTTAAACTTCCTTTGAGTCTTTTGATAAATATGTAATTTTATTACTGTTGTGAAATAGATAAGTATAGCTTTTCTTTTGGAGCCTTCACTTGCTGATAACTCTATATATTTGACAATACTCCAAAAAAGTTTCTTTATGAATTTTCAATAAAAGTTTATATTTTCCTCTTCAAAAGTGATTACCAGCCTCTAGGCAGAATAATGGACAAGGCTGATTAACTTATCACCTTGATGAAGATAAATAACCATTTTATATATATATATATATATATAACCATACCATTATTGCAAAGATCCATCCAAATATAGTAATTGCTTACATCTTATCATAAATTAGTCACGAGCATTTAACCAAAAGACAAAGAATTTATGTTTGATTAGGGATTGGGAATTGGGAGTTTTTCCAAATTCCATAATCTTAAATTCAGCTAACAATTACAAGCACATTAACGCTACACAGAGTTGGAGTGCCCCCCCCTCCCCCCCCTCTTTTCTATGTTATCTCGTACTATGCTCTTCTGCACTGTATTGACAAAGTAAGTTAGCCAACATTAATATGTACACCAGACTTGAAGATGTTGCAGAAGAATGAGAGTAAGCAAAACGCTACATCAATAAGGTAATTTTACTTTCTAAAACTCAAACGGATTCAGAGTCCGTACAAGCCATATTACATGTTCTAAATCCATGGGAGTGGTCAGACTGCAGGTAAGGCCACCTTCTATGCTTATTTATACCAAACTTTTCTATTACCTTTGCAGCAATTATATCAGTCGAATCTACAGCATTAAAGATATTCGAAAATCCATGCTACCTTTGTACACGAAGCTAGTCACGGCCGCCTGAGTATTTGGAGCTTTGGTCTTTTATATCTTGTATTATAATTTCTTTTGTTCCTAACAGTGGTGTTATTCCAACCATAGGCACTCGAAGATGGGTGAGGGCTCTCAATCTCACTATCTAAGTCCCTTGGAACTCCAAGGAAGAGTAAGTATAAGTTTCAAACATTAGAAACCAAACGTTAAGGTGGGACGATGGGCTGAAGTTTACGACGGTTTGACTTTCGCTGCAGTGCATCGAGCAGGACATATGGTACTGAGTACACAGTCACAACGAGGACTCGATTTTAAGGCTTTCTCTCTGGAAACCCACCACCGCGCTTTCACAAACAAGGATCTACGTAAAAAAACAACCTGCAAAACTTTCTAAAGAATAAATTCTTGGTGCTGGGGTTTCATTCATAACGTTCTTCTAGCTACCAAGTATAGAGAACGTTTGGAGCTCAATCGACTTCTCCAGATCTTGAGAAGCCATCAAGGAATCAGCAAGGACATACCAGGTGTGTTTTGGAGAGTTCTGCAACAAGCTAAGTTGTCTCAAAGACGGGAAATGGCTCCATGGTCTTGTTTCCAGTTCCCGCTTTTGGATTGGATCAAACACATTTTGGAAACACACTCTTAAGTCTATATAGCAAGTGTGGGGCGATCCAGGAGGCTTTACAAGTTAGTATGGAGCAGAGAAATGTTGGTGATGATCTCGGCATTTGCCATTTGATGAGGCATAATTGCTTCACTCGGCTCTGACGTTCGTAGACACGGACTTAGTCTTTGGAAACTTGCTCACCAACTTATGAGAAGTGTGGATGTCTCCGGAAAGTGTTTGAGCGGATGATCGTGTCTCCTGGACGTGGATGGTGGCCATGCACGCTCAACACGGTGATTGCCAGAAATCGTGGTTTTTGGAAAGATGTAGCAAGGTGGCGTCAAGGCACTTTCACGGTGGTTTTGTTTGCATGTTCGCTGGAGCGAGTTTGGGATAGAACCCTCGAGAGATCACTACACTTGCATGGTTGATCTCTTGGGACGGGCTGGGAGAGTGTTGACGATCGAATTCCTCGACTAGCAAGCCGGATCTAGCTGTGCTCTTGAATTCGTGTAGGAGTTTTGCGGATTGAGGATAAAGGATTGCCGGCGGCGTGCTCGACAGCTACTTACAAATTCGCAACTTTAAAGTTTATTGTTCCATAGGATTGGTGTGGCGATCTACGGCTGTGGTAGTTTATCTATACGCCACGTGGCGGTTCCTTATTGGCATTATTTTGAGGAATCAAACGGATATGCTTCGCCATGGCGGAAGAATAGGTCGGTCTGGAGGAGACGCTGGTCATCCAACGCAATGCGCCCGTCTGGATTGAGGATCTACCGGTAAGGAAGGATATCACAGCTCCCTCTTCGCGCCGACAATGCTGCTGGAAGTGGGATCGCTGCGCAGCGCGGGCAATGGGAGCTACTGCCTGGCCACATTTCCCGGCCGGAGTGCCAAGAACAGGCAATCGCGCGTAACGATTGTATGCGCCCGGGGCAAGGCGATTGATGGCAGCAGCAGCAGCAGCGGCACCAAGAGATTCCCTTTGGGTGGCACCAGAAAGAAGATCAAAGACGAGGAAGGCAGCGATGGCGAGCAGGAATCATCGAATGGCGCTCTGAATTTCGGGACGCAGCTCTTAAATCTCGCCTCCAGGAGGGACAAATCTTCTCCCCCGGCTAAGAGTGGAACCAAGAAAGAGCTCGCTTTGTCACTGGGTCTTCTTCGCCGAGCTCCCGACGCTAAGACAGTGTTTGTGGCTGGAGCAACTGGTCAGATCGGCGCTAGAGTCTCGCAGCAGCTACTCCGGAGTGGATTCACAGTCCGTGGAGGTGTCCGCGATCTCTACTTCGCCCAGCAGCTCGCGGAGTTCGCTACGCAGTATGGGGTGAGTGGAAAGATAGTTTGGTTTATATCCGTTGGAGGAGATTTCTCACAGTGTTCTCCGGCGCGCAGGTGATCAGCAGGGACGAAGCACGGAAGATCAACGCAGTGGAATTCGATTTCAAGGACGTAGAGTCGATAGCAAAGGCTATAGGGAACGCAGGGAAGGTGGTGGTGACGGTCGGTCCCTCGGAGGATGGTCCTCGGGGGAAAGTCTCGGCAAAGGATGCCCTCCAAGTTCTAGAGGCGGCCAGTGTAGCACAGGTGGGGCATGTTGTGGTGGTGGCCGAGGCTGGCGGTGTGTCGAGCAGCGGCGGCGGTCCGCTGGCCTTGATCACGGATTTCTTCAGTAAGTTGTTCAGCAAGGGTGCAGAAGTCTCGACTGATTCGTTGCTCGATAGTGTTGTGGACACGGAGCTGAGGTTTACGTTTGTCAAGGTGAGCTCCACCGAGGGTGTGGATGATTTCAGCCCCGACGGAGAGAATGTAGTGCTGCTGTCTGAAGGGACGTATAACCAAGGCACGGGAAAGGTACCGATCGAAACAGCTTGCTCCTTTTCTCTTCTTACGCATTGGAGTTTCTTGTGTTCCAGGTATCGAAGTCTCAACTCGCGTCTGTTGTAGCGGGGATCTTTGCAAACATTGCCATAGCAGAGAACAAGGTTAGTTCCCGTTCCCATGCACGTAATACGTAAAAGGGGAGTTCGTTACAAAGTTTGGCTTTGCGTTTTAGGTGGTCGAGGTTGCCACTGTTGAACCTGGAGCATCCAAGCCCATTGAAGAACTACTAAGGTGCTCAAGTTATCTTTTCCTTCCTCTGTATGATTCTTCTAACCCGCGCCCGTGCCAGTGCTATACCAGAGGATGGAAGACGAGCTGCATTGGCGGAGGCGCGAGACAAAGCGGAGGCCGAAGAGCGGCAGAGACAGCTTCGGGAGCAGGCAGAGGCCGAAGCCAAGAAAGCGCTGGAAGAAGCGAAGGATGCCGCTGCTCTCGCCAACGAGCTGGAGGAAGAGGCAAAGGAGCTGGCTAAACAGGAAGCACAGGCGGTTGCCAACGCTCAAAAAGCCAAAGACAAAGCCAAGGCCGCGGCAGCGTCGCTGGAAGCTCTGGGGGCAAAGATGAAGGATATTGGAGCTTCCATCAGCGAGACATCGCAGAATGGCTTCGGTGGTTTCTTCAAGCGAGGCACAGTGGCTGGTCCTCCGGCCGAGGAAGAAGACGATTTGGAGAGCAGCGGGACATCCCAGAATGGCTTCGGTGGTTTCTTCAAGAGAGGCACAGTGGCTGCCAAGAAAGAAGAAGAGAGTCAGGAGGAGGAAGAAGAGAAGCCAAAGTTTGGTCTGGGAAACTTGTTTAAGAGGAGCAAGGACACAGCATCATCAGCCGAGACTCCATCGCCAGCAAAGAAAGTTCCTTTTTCCAAAACGAAGACCCCAAGTCCTCCAAAGAGACGATCGCCACCACCGCCACCACCGCCAGCGATGAGGACGAAGGCTCCGAGAGAGACGAGCAAGGCTCAAAGCTCGGCAGGAAAGAAGAGTGTGCTGGGAGGATTGTTCAAGCAAGACACGATATATATCGACGAGTAACACGATAGTATATTGTACAAACCATGATATCGTCTGTAAATCAATCAAAAAGAGATATTTTGCGTTGTATGCTTTTGTGTGGAGGAAGTTGCTTGCTGCTATGGCGCAAAGTGGTGTGTGTGGGATTGAGAGAGCAAGGCTGTGGAGAGATGGAGGAGGAGTTTGTGCTTCTTTGAAGAATCGACCATGGCCATTGTCTCGTTTGAGAAGATTTAAGATTTCTTTGGTAGCAGCAGCAGCAGCTACTGGCGAGGAGGCCCTGATTGATGCGTTGGTTGGAGTTGGAGGGCGAGGCCGGAGTGCAAGCCAAGAACAACTCAAGGTGAATTACATCATTGTTCGTTTTTTTTTACCAAAACTATATTTGAATTATACTGTATTTTTTGGCCAGGCAATTGCGAATGCTGTGACAGCACTTGAGTCGGAAGGAGGCATCGAAGAACCTGTGAGTGATTCGAAGAAAAGAGTGAGATTTTGATGATTTGATTTGTGCAGACAAAGTCGGAGTTGATCGAAGGCCTATGGAGATTAATGTACACAACAAGGCCCAGCACTGCATCCCCGATTCAAGTTAAACCTTCTACTACAACCATTCGTTCATTTTATTCACTGCCTGGACTTTTTTGTAGAGGACTTTTGTGGGAGTGGATGCATTTACAGTTTTCCAAGACATCAAACTCAGCGATCGCAGTGATCAAAGAGTGTCAAACACTGTAAAGTTTTCTGAGAAAATTGGTGAGCTCAAAGTGGAGGTAAGCAAACATAGTCTGCTCGTTTCTTTAACTTTGGAGAAATCTTCCAGGCCGAAGCCTCAGTTGCTAGCTCCAAAAGGATCAACTTTCGTTTCGACCGGGCCGCATTCTCTTTCTCGTTCCTTCCATTCAAAGTTCCATACCCGGTTCCTTTCCGTTTGCTGGGCGACGAGGCCAAAGGATGGCTCGACACAACTTATCTCTCTCCCTCTGGAAATATTCGAATCTCAAGAGGCAACAAGGTACACAATTAGACAATTAGTATATCACTATCACATTGGTTTCTCCAGGGGACAACCTTTGTCCTGCAAAAGACCTTGGACCCTCGACAGCGGCTGCTTGCAGCTATATCCTCAAAAAAGGACGTTGAAAAGGTCTAAGAAACGAGATCTTAGTTTCTTTCAAGACTTGTATTTGTTTGATCTTGAAGGTGATTGAAGAGCTGGTTGAGCTCAACTCGACCGAGTCCCCGGCAGAACTGGATGCATTGGCAGGGAAGTGGAGACTAGTTTGGAGCTCACAAGTAACTCACAAATTACTTTCACACCTTTTCTAAAATACTTGGCAAGTTTTGTAACAGGGCAGCGACGCAAACTGGCTGCAAAAACTCACGTCGGGCCTCCCAAGCTGGCAAGTAAGTTTTGAGTGTTGATGCTAATTTAAGAAGACGAAAAGATCTATAGGTACAAAGATCCATACATATTTACATAAAGAATGTGGCTGCAGATTGTTAAAGCAGCAAGCGGCGATCTCGAAAATCTGGTAGAGCTGCTGCCCGGATTTCTGAGCCTGAAAGCCAGAGCAACGTCAGAGTAAGCACTTTGTCTTCCATTCATAATTACGATTAGATTACCATTAACGTGCTAAATCCAGAGCCACCTCCAAAACGCGGCGTCATGTACGGATACAAGGCGCGGCCGTACAGCTGTTGGGCGGATCGGTTTCGGTTCCTCTCAACATCGAAGGCGCCGGCTACGTAGAGCTGACGTAAGCATATTCTGTCACCTCGACAGATATTCTGCCACCACCCGCGGCATATTCTGTCTCTTTGACGTACATTCCGTCACCACCTTTTTTGTTCTTTCAGGTATCTGGACAAGAGGATGAGAATTAGCAGAGGGAACAGAGGGAGCACATTCGTGCACGTCCGCGACGACGACCAGAATTGATCCATTATATGTTTTTGATTGATTGATTGAATTGATTGACAACAACAACGAACGACGATGTAAAATTATGCATGTTCCCCTTCCCCTCCTCCTATAATAATAAGTATTGTTCATACAAGCCCCCGCCCATCCCCGTGTGATCTTATATAAAACTTGGTACAAATACTGTTACTTGGACCTCCTCGTTTTTTTTTGGGATGTTTTTTCCTTCCATAGCTTCGAATGTAGCAACTTTTGTGTGTCAGATGTGCGGCCTGTGACTGATTATACATGCCCGACTCCAAAGTGAAAGAGGAAAGAAAGACTAGAGCTGAGTGAGAGCGTTCGTAATGTACCTCGCGCGCGAAGTAGCAAAGTCCCCGAGCTTTGCTCTCACCTCTTGTTGATGTTAGCCCGGGAAAGAATGCGCTTCCCGAAAGGGCTGCTGCGTAGCACTGGAACGTGTGGGCGAATAGCGTCCACTAACGCCGTGTGTAAAGATCCCTGCAAACGTTTCCAAGCACGAGATGGAGCAAAAATCGCTTTTTTCTTTGAGGTACCTTTGCGACAGAGAGAGCACACTGGATGACGTAGTTCGCAAAAGGATCCTGGAGCAGCTGGCTCAGCAGGGAGCTGGTGATGATCTCGCGAATGATCAGAGCGCGCGAGTCCTCGGACGACTGCTTGAGGCACTTCTCCACGACATTGCTGCTAAACTTTTGCATGGCGAGCAACGCGAAGTTCCCTTCCAGCCTGTAGATGACGTCCAGAGTTATCCAAGATTGTTCGAGGTCGAGGATGTACTGAACGACATAGTTACTGCAAAAGGGAAAGGACGGCGTTTAAAGTTAAGGCAAAACCCAAGTGTAAGTGCTGTACCCGTATTGGTCTTGCGAAAGAATCAGAGCATTTGCGGCGATCTCGGAAACAAGAAAATGGCACTGTGTTCCCGAGGCAAAGTCAATACAGCGCTGGAGTACGCAGCAGCCATGCCTGTGTGTACCAATATCCACACAGTGCCGTGCCGCCGCATCAATAATAAACTGCGATCAGAGAGTTGTCAACGAAAACGAGAAATCTTTGGCACTGCTCGTACCTGGATATCTTCGTTACTGAGCTTTTGCAAGCATTTCTGGACGACATGATTTCCATTAGAATCCTTGATAAGAGTCACTACGCCTTGCATGAGCGAGCTTGTCACCATGGAAACTTGCTCTGGCGACTTGAGTGTCTCTATCAGTTTTTGAACAGCACGTGTACTGCAAACAGCAACAGACACAAGAGTTAGTGATTGGAAAAGAAAAAAAAGGAAGAAACACAGTCAGTCAGTCATGAAAAATTCTCTATTTTCTTCCTTTTTCTCTCGGTCTCTCAACATCATACCCGTGCATATTCAAGGAGATGTTGACGAGCTCCCCGTTTCTGGTGACGCCACGCAAAATCTCCCTGCGCTGCGTGTCGTTGGAAACCTCCAGGAGTTTTTGGACGAGGTAGTTCCCGAAAGGGTCAGTCATCAAGTCTACAAGGTGATCAATCACCTCCGCAAAGATCTTGTCAATCTCCTCCAAACTCCCCTCACTAAACTTCTTCTGCAAGAACCGGCAGCCGTGCTGATCCTTGGCGGTCTCGTAAATCCGCCCCTCAATCTCCTCCAGCGACGTAAACTTCTGCTGCTGCTGTTGCGTCGAATCGTAGAGCCCCCTGAATTCCCCGCTAAGATCACTCTCCTGCGACTCGGTGCTCGCCGAGCGCTTCTCACTGCTCGTCTCATCGTCACGGGCAACCTTCCTCCGGGCCAAACTCATCGACGCAAACGAGTTGGACAACCCCTTAATCGACGGCGCTTTCCTGCCCGAGAGCGATCTCTCCGCCATGGACGCAGCCAGCGAAGAAGGTTGATCCCTGGCCGTGGTGTGAAGAAACGGGCAGTTCTCTCCCCGGCTACAAACTCCCTGTAAGTAGAACCGACACACATTCCTAGCGCTGCCAGCTCCAGAGCGAGGAGACCCCTCCAGATTCCCTGACGCTTGAAGTGCTTCCTGGTAACGCTGCTCGGACGAGCACCAAAAATTCCGGAGCGCTGCCAATTGCTGTACCTGCCTGGCAAGAGGATTCTCCAGCGAAGAATATCTTACACCGCCACCGCCATTGGCGCGATGGTGAGAGTAGAATCCTCCTGCTGCCCCTGGATTGCCATAGAACTGATCACCGTGCTGCTGCCCAGCGTAGAAGGCGGCGTCGATCATCAGCTTTTGCTGCTGCTGCCTCTGGCGAGCCCTCTCCTCGGCAATCTGTTGCTGGAGAAGAAGCCGCTGCTGGAAGAGCGCTACCATGTCGAGATTATCGTCATCCACAGCGTCTTGCTGGAACCGATTGCTGCGATCGTATTCTAGGAAGGAGGAATTGTTTACCAGGTGATGCTGATGCCACGCCGCTGCCGCCTGGTGGTGATCGTACACGAAAGGCGCCGCTCCCATCGCGCTAGTGTACATTGCGCCGTCGTCGTCGCGGTCGGCTGCGATCTGGAAATCCCTGGACATGATCAGCGGCGGCGTGCCGTTCTTGCCGGGATCCAGCAGCGCGTAATCGAGACCTCGGCTCCCAAGATCGTCGCGAGAAAAGCTGGATGACGATGCCGCGGATGAATGCATGGCGCCGCTGGCGCGATCGACGATCCCGCTGCTGGCCGGCCAAGAATCCCGCTTCCCTATCTAGGATCGATCGATCGATCGATCTATCGCGGCGAGGGAAATAAAAAAGGGGGATGGCCTAAATTGGCCACATTAACCCAAACCCGGAGCTGTCCGTGCCGTTTGAGCCATCGCCCTAAACCTTAAACCTCCCGCCCGTACGGCACGTTTGTGTGGTGGCGGTCGTGTACGGTCGTCGTTTTGAATGCCGGGGGGCGTTTTAGAGAGAAACTTCTAGCCGCCTAGATCCGGCGCCAACCAGCCTACGGGTGGGACCCACGTGGCGCCGCCGCCATGGGCATAGACACGTGGCGGTCATGTTTCTCTTTCTCTCACGCCATCAGGAACCCTAAATTTTCACGACGAGGATCCCCCAAATCTCTCATTGAGCAGGGATTTAAATTCCTGGTAGCTCAGCTGCTGCTGGCCGCCCTCCCGCAGCGCTTGGTGGAGCTCCGCGCGCCGCTGCGCCTCGATCAGGGTCACCTTGTCATCTGGAGCGCAAATTCCTCTCAACAATCCGGAATCCGATTCGAGCAGCAAGGGATGGATGCGGGGTACTTACAGAAGCCCGTCTTGATCATGAAACCCTCGATCGCCGCGCCGAAAATCGCCGAGACGATGGCGACCTTTGCGTACCATTGGCGGTGCTGGACAAGATCGCGCAAGAGCGGCATTGGTTTGACCTAGATTCGAGCCCGAGACCCCCTTTTTCAAAGGCCGAGATATAAACCCCCCTAGAACCCTTTAGACCACGTCTAGGGTTTATGGAAGACGTGGGAGAATATCGGTTGCTTCACAAGATCGGCGTTGGATCGTTTGCCACGGTATGGAAATCTATGCACAAGATCACTGGCGAGATCGTCGCGATCAAGGTGATCGTCCCGCGGATGGATCAGCTCCGCCAGCAGCTGGAACTGATCGCGCAGGAGCAAGCCATCATGAAATCGATCGCACATCCAAACGTCGTCAAGCTCCTGAGGATGATCAGCGACGATGAGCACGACGAGCTCTCCACGAAGTACCTGGTGATGGAGTTCTGCGAGGGTGGCGATCTGGATCACTACATTCACCTCAACAAGAAGCTCAGCGCTGGGGTCGCGAGGACGATCATGCTCCAGCTATCGGCGGCGCTCCAAGAGCTCCGGAGGATGAACTTGATCCACCGGGACCTCAAGCCCCACAATCTCCTGCTCAAGAACAAGGTCGCGCCGGGGTCAGATCCAGAGGGAGAAGAGATCGTGGTGAAGCTCACGGATTTTGGGCTGGCGAGGAAGCTCCAGCCGCAAGGAATGGCGCAAACGATGTGTGGAACGTATCTCTACATGGCCCCGGAAGTGATCTCGCACAACAAGTATGACGCCAAGGCCGATCTCTGGAGCGTCGGGGTGATGCTCTACCAGATGATCACTGGGCGGAGGCCGTTCGAGGCCTGCAGTAGCGAAGATCTCTTCCGCAAGCTCGGGAACAAGGTCCAGTTTCGAGGAGAGGATTGCTGGGATCCGGATTGCCGCGATCTTTGCGAGGGGCTGCTGAGGAAGAATCCCTTGGAGAGGATATCTTTCGAGGAGTTCTTCAATCACAAGTTCCTGCGAGGATCGAGCAAAGCTGCACTGGTTTGCGATGAATTAAAAGCCGACAGCGTTGTGATCTTACACCGAGCGCCACGGCCACTGGAGACGATCCCCGGGGATCGCCAGCGGCCTGTGAGAGGGAGGAATCCACTGATGGACTCGATTGAAGAGAGGATTGCCAGAGAGTATGTGATGGTGTCTAGCCCCAGCTCTTCAAAGAACAAGCATCCTCACTGCCCGATTCCAAAGCCAGCACCGCCGCCGCCGCGTGCGCATCCACCGAGCAAGAATTCGAGCAAGGAAGATCTGGAGCGCAGCGAAACCCTGCGAATCTGCGCCAAATTGCTCGGCGAAGTGGCAAGATTCAAGCTACAAGACAGTAAGAAGCTTGAATCCCTCTCGCTCTGCCTCGCCGTGCTTGGATCGCTCAAGCGCGCCTTGAGCATTGCCACCACGCCCCAGCTCTTGGAGGATTTCTCGGCCGCCCTGGACGAAGCCGAGGCCGTAGCGGCGAATCTCGACAGGAGCTCGGATCAGGCGCTGCCAGATGCGGCGGAGATAATCTATCAGGCAGCGCTGGCGGCAGGGAGAGCCGGGGCAGTGGACGAGATCCTGGAGAAGCGAGGGCGAGCATCGGTCGAGTATGCCAAGGCATCAACGTTGCTCTTCTTTCTCATCATGGATGACTCCCCGATCCACCTACATTCGTTAGATGTTGCTAGCGCACACCATTGCTTCCACGCTATAACAGTGCGTCACAAGCAGTGCAAGAACGCTAGCCACTAATTTCTTTAAATTATATTAATACTAAATAATACTTAGTATTATTATTGATTAATTTGTAGCTTACATAATTCTTATTTGGTTTGCTTAAGATGGTAATGAATATACTTAAAATATGTTTGGATACTCTAAGATATTTTACCATCTAATAGTTGTTATTTATTTAAATTAATTTTGTATTTATAATTTATAAACATGTTTAAAATTTATAAACTTTCTTAAACAATTTCTAGTATATTCGTTTTTATTCTACCATCTAATGGTTGACATGGAATAAGATTAATCTTGTGTTTATAAATATAAACACGTTTATAATTATAAACTTTTGTTTGATCAATTGGATTAAGAAGTAAAAATAAAATTACTATTAAGCAAAACAACCGTTGCTACATGCAAAGTGTAGCAAATTATTATTTTTATTACTATAATATTATTTTATTAAAAACAGTGGTTATACTTTTTTTGTTTTACAAAGATATTATTTATTATAATTCAATTTGCACACTGAGTGCTTGGAATATAGAGAGGGAATACAAAAATGTGCATATCAATTAGCCCAAAAACCCTAACTTATATATAGAAGCGAGTGGTCCAGATTGAAACCAATCTAATGGCTACCAAAATCCCACTATGCTAATATTAGTATACGGCATCGTAACCATACACTTGGCCCTCAAATCATCCTCTCCTCTTGGGATAATCATCAGGGTTCTCTAGAAGATGGGCTGGGATCCGGAGGAACGTCAGGAGGAGGCATCGGTAGATTTGTAGGTGGTATTAACTCCTCCTAATCCCTTTGTATGAAGTGTTTCAGCCGCTGCACATGCACAATCTCTGGACGATTGGCCTGCTGAACGTTATGCCGAACCTCATAAACTTGTGGTCCAACTTGCCGCAACACCCAATACGGTCCTTTCCATTGTGCAAGAAGCCCCTTAGATAAACCACGTACCGTAAGATGGAGAAAACGGACTAACACCAAATCATCCACTTTGTACTCTGCAGGTGGATGATGATAAGAGTTGTAGCGCCGTTGTTGTCCCACTTGTATGCGGCCTAAGTGTTTGGCAGACTCTGCTTGGACAAGTGGAAGAATGCTCGTCAAATACTGATCCCATGATCTAGCATCAGCAGCTTGTGGCAATCGCGAAGGTAAACCCAGCTCCGTTGGTAATATTGGATCATGACCATATAGGAGTTTATATAGTGAAGCACCAACAGAACTCTGCACCCTTGTAACATATGCATACCAAAGAGACGGCAAAATAACCATCCCAATCTGAATGTTGAAAGTTCACATACTTCGCAATTATCCCTTTGAATGTCCGAACAAGCCGTTCCACCATACCGTCTGATTGTGGATGATAAGCACTTGTGAAAGTGTGGCATATCCCCAATCGAGACGTCAAAACATAAAATGCCTCAGCCATAAATGCGGGACTATTATCCGAAAGAATCCGCTCTGGACAAGAATGCTGGAATACCACTCGATTGACGAGGAAGTATCCAACAACAGTTGCAGAGGCGCTAGCAAGAGCACCAACTTCCACCCAACAAGTCAAGTAGTCAGAAGCAATAATAACATACTCATTGCCAGCAGTCGACTGTGGAAAAGGTCCCATAAGATCAAAAGCCACTAACTCAAATGGACGGGAAACTACAATTGACTCCAACCGTCCTTCTGCAGCACAAGGGGGAGTATTACGAGCTTGGCACCAAACGCAGCTACACACATACCGGATAATATCACGTCGCATCTCCGGCCAATAGAAAGACCTGCGCAGCTTCTTGTGACACGACGGTGTCCCATATGCCCACCTAGAACAAGAGAATCATGGTAGGCATGGAGAAACCGCGGAATAAACACCGAAGGCACTACCAGCCGTAAGTGATCATCAGGATCCGTCCCCACAAAATAAAGAAAGCCATCTTCAAGGCGATATTGAGAATGTAAATGCCGAAAAGGCAAGTCATCAGCAAGTGATGTAGGATTTTCAAACCCATCTCGAAGCCTTCGAATCCACGGCTCAATCTTTTGAGCCTTGCGAACCTCATCAAGAGAAGGTAGATCTTGCTCTGCGCCCTGTGGACACTAAACGTCAAGAATAGCAACCGCCGACGGCACAGAATCCTCATTTAGAAAATCCACAGATGCTGGAATAACAGGTTCGTCAGAAACATGACAAGTGAGTGGAGTAGGAAGAGGAGCTCGAGAAAGGGCATCAGCATCAACCATAGAACTCCCTGGGCGATGAACAACATCAAAATTATATATTTGAAGCTTCAAAGCCCATCGAGCCGTACGACCAACCAGGTTCTTCCGCTTCAATAATGAAGTAACAGCAGTATGGTCACCTTCAAGTAATGTCCGAGAACCATGTAGATATGCATGAAATTTCTCGAAACCCCAGACTGCTGCTAAACACTCTTTCTTCGTCGTGGAGTAGTTCATCTCCGCTGGTTGTAATGTACGGCTTATGTATGCAATGGGATGGCACTGACCAGGCACACTCGAGCTCTCTTGCATCAACATACCTCCAAAACCAATGTCAGAAGCATCCACGTGCAAAATAAAAGGTCGAGTGTAGTCAGGATATGCCAAAACTGGAGGAGTCGTCAATAGCTCTTTGAGATCCACAAATGCTCGCTCACAATCCGGAGACCAGATGAAAGATGACGTTGATGACTTCAACAACGCTCGCAATGGTGTAGTGCGATCAGAAAGATGATTCACAAAACGACCGAGATACTGCACCTTACTCAAAAAACACTACACATCATTTAAATTATATTGGAGTAGAGAACTTTAGAATAGCCACAAGTTTGTCAGGATCAACTTACAAACCCTCACGAGAAATATGGTACCCAAGATAAGTTGTGTCCTTGGACCTAAACACGCACTTTGACCTCTTCAGCTTTAAACCAATGTTGCGTAGCTGATCCAACACTTTACAAACATCACAAACGTGCTCCTCCCATGTCCCCTCCAAGTGGATCAAGACATCATCAATGAAGTCAGTAGTCACCTCCGGCATATCGCAAAGAACCTCGTCCATCATCCGCTGGAAAGTTGCTGGAGCATTGTTCAAACCAAACGGCATCACCAAGAACTCGTACAAACCAAATGGTGTACGAAAAGCAATCTTAGGAATATCTTCTTCGGCCATCGGTACTTGCCAATACCCAGAAGCAAGATCTAGCTTGGTGAACCAGCGACTTCGCCCCAGACGATCCAAGAGATCAGCAGTGTGAGGAAGAGGATACACATTTGGGATCGTCACTTTGTTTAATGGATGATAGTTGATGCAGAAATGAATACTCCCATCAGACTTCGTCACAAGATGAGGTTCACATGCCCAAGGACTCCGCGACTCCGAATAACACCCTTCTCCAGCATTTCCTTGACGTTTGCGCGTAAAATCTTAATCTCCTTAGGTGACCGATGATGAACAGGAACCTTGATTGGACGAGCATCCCCGGTTTCAATCGGATGACGTGTGCAATCTTGGCCCCAGACGATAAGTCAAATTCAAAGAGATCAGAATACTCCTTCATGAGCCGATCAACTGCTACAACACAAAGATCGTCGGAGGGATCGGAAAAGGGAAAAGCAGAACAAGATGGAAACACAGAAAGAAAGAGTGGGGGAACAAAAGTAATGGAAGCAGAGGTAGAAGTAGAGGGACGAAGAGATATGGAAGTGAGAGGAATGGATGAAACATAAGGAAGTATGAGGGGGAGAAGCCTCAAAGTCACACTTGGCATGATTGCGCTGCAACCAATCCATACCAAGAATGAGGTCAAAAGCTTGACTCGGCACCACCCGCAATGACTGCAACTCAAGCTCGAGATCGCCCACACACACAACTAGGTCCACCTCATCCCGTGCACATGCATGTGTACGGCTGTTGCCATAAAGAATGAAAACTGGTTCCGCCGCACGACGCAAGTGTAGACGACAACGTGTGGCAACAGGTCGAGCAATAGAAGATAAACTCGAACCTGTATCAACCAATACGGAGAGAATAATAGGAGACCTCTTGTTATAAAAATGAGCTTGGAAAGTAAACACTGGATGAACTGGTGCCGAGTGAACCCCTTGATGATACTCCCGAAAGAAAGATGGAGGGGTCACTGATTTATTCGCGCAAGGTCCCTCCATTACTCGCGTGACTCCTCGTTTCCCGGATGCATCTCGGTGTCCAGACCTTCTACTGTAGTAGCACCCACGAGACGTTGCTGATGCAAAGGTCTCCACCCAGGAAATGGAGGTCGCTAATCTGGAAAACGATGGCAATGCCGATAAGTATGACCGACTTCATCACACACCCAGCAGTGAACATCACGGCCACGACCACGTCCTCGCGCTTGTCCTTGAACTCGAGCAGTAGCAGCATCAACCTCCATTGGAACAGGACCATCACCCATAGGAAGTGGAGCGGAAGGACGTGCAGCGAGAAGTGGAAGAGGCGACGTCTCATAATGTTGTGCCAAGCGAAGTGTGAGACACAAAATCCCTAGGCCCCAAAGTGGAGCCGGAAGGGCGCCACGTGGTAGTGGCCAAAGCGAGAGCCAAACGAGTGTAACACGTTTGGACCAAAAGCTCCGACTTGAAAAGTCAAGAGCAGGAGTGGAACTCCCAACGAAGTGCTCGAGGAACAAGCACAAAGAGAGCAATAAGCGAGGCTCCAAAAGGGACCCAAAAGGACCAACACATGACACGTGGAAGTTTCCGAGATGGACCCGAGTTGGAGTCCAAAGTGGAGTCCGAGGTGGACCCGAGATGGACCCGAGATGGAGTCCGAAGTGGAGTCCGAGAAGGACCCCAAGATGGAGTCCGAGATGGAGTCCGAGGTGGAGTCCGAGGTGGACCGAGATGGACCCGAAATGGAGTCCGAGATGGAGTCCGAGATGGACCCGAGATGGAGTCCGAGATGGAGTCCGAGATGGACCCGAGATGGAGTCCGAGTTGGAGTCCGAGATGGACCCGAGATGGAGTCCAA